GAAATTATTAATTTAATTAAACTATAAATTAAGTGTGACACACATGGCTAAATTAATATTTGAATAAGGCTAAATATAGGTAATAATATGAATTAAAATAGAATTAATAATAAATTAAATTAATTAATATAAATTACTTATTTGCCTGATTTAGTAGTGATTGGCGATTACTGCGCCACGTGCTGCGGCTGTGCCATATGCTGCGCCACACAAATAAGCTAATTGGTTACAGTATAATCTAATAAAAGTATTTTATCTGATATTTTCTTGTATTAATTTTTTAATATATTTTTTATCTAAAAAGTAATCAGATATAATTAATATTAATTATGATAGTAATTATTATTTTTATTATTTTAATTATTATTTTAATTCTTCTATTTATTTTTAATTATTTTATTCTTATTTTTTTCACATATTTTTTTCTGTTTTTAGTTTTTAGTAATATAATTTTTTGCTCTGTTATATAATTTTTTATAAAAGTTTAAATTAATGATTACTTATTCTAATTTATTTTTTTATTTAGTTATTTGTAATAATATTATTCTTATTAATATTTTTTTATTTAATTCTTTTAATTTTTTCTGATAATATCATATTCTTTCTTTATCATCAAGTATTTTTTCTTTATAATAAACTATTTTATTCTTTAAAAATTCTAATATCTTGTAATAATTTTATTATTTTTATATTTTATTCTATTATATAAATTTTAATTTCTATTTTTAAGAGATCTAAAAAGAATTTTTATTCTACTTTTTTATAAATTTTTATATTTTTTATTCAGATTTATTTTTATATTGATAAAATATATTTTATACTTCTTCTAATTATTAATTGACAGTTTTCTATATTTTATATAGATATTTTATTTATTTATTAATTTTATTCTTTATTATTTTAGATATTTTATTATAGTAATTTTGAAGTTTTTTGAGTTCTTATTTTCAAAATTCTTTCTTAATATTATATTCTTTTATTATTTAAGTATATGTTTTATTATTTATTTAAATAATTTTTCTTTTTTAAGTAATTTATATTAATCTTTTCTATTTCTATATATAACTTATTTTAATATGTTATTAAAATAATATAATTATATTTTATTTTCTTTATAAGTTATTTTCTTGAATTCTTTTTATATATTACCTATAATATATCAATATTCTGTATCTAGTACTATATAATAATTTGAATAACTTATAATTTTAAATAGTTTATTTCATATTATTTTGTAATATTTTATTAATAAGCTATTTTTTATAAATATAAAGTATTTTTATATTTCTTCTTATCTATTTTCATCTTTTTTAAAATTTTTATTATATAATTAGAATTTTATTATTTGTTTCTTTTTTTGATTTGCTTTTATAATATTGTTATAATATAGATTTTCTTATATATAATTTATTAATATTAGTTATTTTATACTTATATTTTTATTGGATAATTATTTAGTTATATTTTATTAGATAATAATAAGATAATATTATTGATAGATATTTTTAGATAGTTTTACAAGCATAATATTTATAATGAAATTATCATAATAAAGTTAATAAAACTATTATAGCAAAACTAGCAATGCTATCATAACAAAACTGATATTATAACACTAGCAAAAGTAGCATTTAGATCATAACAAAAGTATCATTTGTAAAATCTCTAAAATATATAAAAATAATATATCTTAATTAAAAATAAATAATTAGAAAATTAATTAATAAAAAATTAATAAAATAAATACAATAAATTAATAAACAACTAATAAATTAATGAATTAAATAATAGTAAGATAAAATAATAATTTAAATATAATAATATTATGAATTAATAATCTTTATTAATAATATCTTATTTATTATCATATATTTTTTATATTATGATCCCAGATCACATTCTAACTGATCATATCATGAATACACTCTTGTTATCTATCTTTAATCTCATTATAATTATAATTTAATATCTATTACATTATATTTATGATTATATTAGTCTCTTCTATTCATAATTAATAATATCTTTATTATATCTTATACTAGTCAAATATTATATATAAAGTTATTAATCTATCACAAAATAATCTTTTCAAGAAACACCAAAAATGGTAATAATATATAATTATTTTTTTAGTATATAAATATTTTATCTAGTTTATTTCTTATATTATTCTTTTTATTTAGTCATATGTTATTATTAGATTTATGAATAGATATATATAATTATTTAGTCTATTTTCTATTGGTGATTTTTCATATTATATCTATTTTTTCTTGTATTTATCTACTAATTACTATAATTAAAAAAATCTCTTTTTTTCAAGTATAATAATTTTAGAGAAATTTAACTATAATAAATTTATTAAATATTAAAATATTAATTAACTATTAATATATAATTTAATATAATTATTAAATTTTAGATTTTTAATATTTTCAAAATAATTTTGATAAATATTCTTAATTAATATTTTAAAAATAAAACCTTTTTTTAACTGGTATTTATTAAATAAAAAATTACTTATTAAAAATATTTTTAAATAATTTCTTTTTCAAAGTTATTTCATGTAGATACCTAATCCACCACATTTGACACAAAATTCCGCAAACTTTTATTAAGCTAACATGCCTTGTGCTATTAGCGAATCTTGTTTGTAATATCCTAAAGAATATATCTACAAATTTTCATGAGTTTTGGACGCTTCATTGTTAAAACATAGGCAAAAACGTTCACCGCCATTCTTTTCGCCGGGGACTGTATAAAATTTAAAGAATTAATCAAAAAATGCCATTATATATTTAAATATATATTAAAAATTAGTATAAATTTGCAGAATATTAAATATTAGCTATCATATATAATAATTATTAAAAGTAAAATATTTAATAATTTTTTTTATTAAGTATACACACCCCTACAATATATTACCGGAAATTTCAAAAATGAAACTATCATTTTGGAACCCAATTTCTCATAATCCAGTGATCTCATTTAAATAAAGATATTACCATAAGATTCGTGGAGTCGGGACAAATTTAATGGAGTATTTTCATTTAAATTGGATCATTGAATTTTGAGATATTGGATTTCAAAGTGGCAGATTCGTTTTTAGGATTTCCGGTAATATATTGTAGGGGTGTGTAATTATTAAGAATATCAAAATAATAATATTACTACATTATCTTTTTTAATCATTATTGTTACAATAAATATGAGAGCCGATCCGGTCCGATAAGGTCCGAGAACCAAATCGGGAATCACGGGATTTGGACATGACTACTGGTTTATAAATATATGTAGTTTGGTAGCTAGTTCATATTTTACACAACTATTCTTAATATGCAAGTCGAAATTGTTAAAAGCAATCACGGTAAAAAGAAATTTCGCAGGCCGGAACGCTCGATTCCCGAAGAATTGAAAAGTTCTTTACTGGAACAAACAACTCCTCGCAAACTTTGGGTACCTCAGGATGGAATTCAAGCCAAAATGACAAAATTAAATGATAATGACGAATTTCAACGAAATGCGCCGCCACCTACTCGTCCCTTATTCGATCATCGTAGGGACCCTATTATTTTGGTGCCAAAAGCTAGCATTGGACACGAAAATCAAAAGTCAACTTTGAATAACGCGTCATTTAAAAATGAAACTGTTAATCAGACTCGTCGCGCTAGCGCTCATTTCGGATCTGGGACAAACGGAAAAAAGCTTTATAACCCTTATAGCGATGAAGAAGGTGATTCGAAGAAACAAACTCAGCGTGATATTCCTAAGCATTCTCGTACACACACGCGAACCAAAAGTGCTCATGATGTTCTCAATAGTAATGAAATTGTTATAAACAAAGAAGAACGTGATGCAAAAGTGTCAAAGAATCTTGTCAAGGAGATTGCGTTAATGGAGAAGCAACTTTTGGATCTTTCAAGCCAGATCAATAATAATGCCATTGATGAAGTACCGAAAATTAGTTCTAGGCAATATCTTGTTAGTGAGGAGTATTGGGAAGAAAGAATGACCTTTCATTTACGGTATGTTTATAAATAAGTTCAATTTATTAACTTTCGAATTTACTTAGTAATTTACTAATTGCTTATTCTAATAGTTTGGCACAGAAATACATAGAGATTATGCAAGTTGACAAAAATGTTGCAATGAAACAAGACTTTGAATCTAAATGTTGGAAATACGCTTTTTACACCCTGATTGAAGAATTTAGAAATACGCTTTCATTAGAGCGTGCTTCCACAGGACATCGCTCTTACACTAATTCTATCGTCCTTAAGCAATTCGGCAAATTCTTGAACGAGGCCGAAACTTTTTATATAGAATTATTGAAAAAAAATATTCAAAAAACTAAATCCAGCGAGATTCCGCCCGAGAATAGTCAACTTCCAAAATGGTTTCGCTGTATTGGTTGTTTAGGCGATCTTGCTCGATACAGGTGGACCTATAGCTTAAATGATCATGAAGATAAAAAAAACGAATGGGCTATAAATGCATCGAATTGGTATAAATTAGGAATTACACTCAATCCTTCAAATGGTATGACTTCAAACAGTTTATTTGACAATATTTATAATATATTTATTTAATGTTATATACTATATAATTGTATAGGGAAATTCTATCATCATCTAGCGATATTGGCTTCTAACGATGAGATGCAAAAGTTATATTATCTTTGTCGCAGGTACTTGACATTTCATTTGCTTTTAATCGTTTTGTAATTTAAACGTTTATTAATAATTATTTATTCTGCTTATATAGTCTTCTTGTTAAGTCTCCATTTATTATTGCACGTGAATCTGCAATTCCGTTCTTTGAAGCCAATCGACAACTTTTTATACAAAACGCCAACGATGCTAAACAAAAAACTCGTCGTGGATATCTACACAAACGTGAAAGTAGTTTGACTTGTAACACACCGAAAGCCACCAAACTTATCTCAAATCAAGATATTCAATCTCTCTTTGTCCGATTGCACGGAATGCTCTTTACAAAGATCGGTCTCGAGAATTTCAATGAGACTTTACGTACTTTTATGCATAAAACATCCAATATTAATTATTTGCAAAAGATCGATAAGATTGAAAATCAATATTTTTTGGAGCTATGCTTGCAAATGGCCGTAATAAATCTTTCGAGCATATATTGCTATGGTAACAATGAAGGTTCTTCTCTCATTAAAGCGATTGAAGCTTCTATAAATGATCGGGAAAATGAGGTTAAAATTCTCGATTCTGATATTGCATTCATTAATGGAGCAAATATTACTTTTGAGCTTATGAGGCAATTTATGGGCAATTATGTGTGTGATGAGATCAATTCTGAAGAACACGATATCACTGAAGGGTGGCTTCTTTATTGTGAAGTTGTATTAATGTGGATGGCAGCAAGTTGCGCCTTTGATAATTTCGCAGCAGAATCTCAATCAAGTATATGGGAGAAGTTATTCGGAAAAGCAATTTGTCCTCGTTTTTGGGAGACCGTTGCAAAATTTTTGACCAAAATAACACGACAAGTCTTAGCCCATACAAAAGAAAAGATTATCACATCAAATGGATGCATTTTTCCGCCTCCCCTAGCTGAAGATTGGGAATTGCGTGGAATCTGTTGGTTACGACAAATTCATCCAAATAATTATTTTAAAGAAGAAATTGATTTGTTAACGTCTAATTTTAATGTTGAAAATATTAATGACTACATTGCTCCAATGTATTCTTTGAAATTGGACCCGGATTCTAAAGTGAGAAGAAAAGCAAGAATATTTGAGTTAGGAATTTTGTTAACAAAGGTAATTGAAATCATGAATTATAAACAGATCATTTTCCGAATTTATTTATTCGATGTCTTTAAATTATAGAAAATAAATGGGTTTGAATTCGATGAAAAACTTGACTTCTTCTCTTCGTTATCCGAACTAGACGAAGATGTAAAAGAAGTTAAAACAGAGCCGGAATTGCTTTTTGAAAATGATCTTAGCGAACAAAGGCAGTCTGATTGGGCCGAGGAGGTGGAACATGTGATTCAAAAGGAATTGAGTGATCAAGAAGAAGATGAAAATATTAAGGAATTGAAGGTAAAGAAATGGACTTTGAGAATTTTTACATGATTAAAGGAATAATGGAACTTTTATCATAATAGGCACGCAGAGCAAGTCTAGAGATGAAGACTGCTGCTCTAATTGATTCTCGTGTGACTCCAAAAAAATCGCATCTGAATGAAAAAAAAACAGAGATAACTCCAATGAAAAAAAAGTCACCAAAACCAGCTTCCAAAATTTTACCAGGATATACTACGCTCATCGTTGACACAAATTGTTTAGTAGGCGATTTGCACGCTGTCAAAAGAATTATAAAGTCTGAAAAATGGAATGTGGTTGTACCAATGGCTGGTAAGTGGTGCAGGATAATCGAGTTATTTATTCTAATACTTGGTAAATTAATCTATATATTTGCTTATTAGTTATTACTGAATTGGCTGGATTGACTTTGAATCCGCCCCCGCTTGGAAATTCGGCCACCGAAGCGCTTAATTATTTAAAACTAGCAATGTCAAGTAGAACAAGGGAAATAAAATTAAAAGTACAAACAAGTAAAGGAAATTACATATCAGATATTGGTTTCAATGAGGAATTCGACTTCGGAGATGGAGAAGATAAGAAGAAAAATCTCGATGACATTATTTTAGGAATTTGCTTGTGGCATGCAAAGGATCATCCCGATACTAGCAATCAAAACAATGGAACTCAAAATGAAAAAGTGGTTCTTTTGACAAATGACAGGAATCTTCGAGTGAAAGCACGCGCAAGAGATGTTAACGTCGTTAATGTCCAGGATTTTAAGAATCTCATTGGATGAATAATTTATATATTACATATCTGTACAAGTATTTTTTAAAAAAGGATCATCACTTGCCAAGTTTACTTGATATTAATTGATTGATTCAATAATGATCTTTTCGTTAGGTGAGTATTATAAGTTTTATTTAATGATTTACTATCCATCTTCTTTACTAACCAAAGTTTAATTAGGATTTTGGCATCGATATTCCGCATGTTCACAATTATTCAGGATTTACGGAAAAATCAGCCGAACCTATTAAATGCAATATACCTGGAAAATAATTACGGCGAGAACTGATTTGTCGTCGTTGTCTTCGTCAGTGTCATTTTGACATAATTTACATGAAGTATAACAACACGTTTCATCGTGAATTCCCATAAGTGGAAATTAAAAAATGAAGCTCAATCATTAATTGACTTTCTCAGATTATTTTTTATTCTTGCGTATTAGGGCCTTTTTTTCAGGATTTCAAATTAGAAAAATCTGAAGATGATTCCTGCCATCTTTTTTTAAATATATTTTTCTTTACGCATGTTTAATCAAACATTAATAAATATTTCTTTATGTTAAAATTTACGTGGCACAATCATTTGGTATCACGTAAAATCTGATAATAAATGATAGAAGGCAAACTTGCAACTTTATTCTTGAAAATGACACAATCGATTATTCAGAATTTTATAGGTATATTTCTAATTTTTTTTAGAAATAAACCATAATTTCATCAAATTTATGTTTAAAATGTGGATTTTCTTTTTTACGAAACGTCAATGCTCGTTAATAAGAGAGGGCTTGTAATCCGGTTTTAAATGAACCTGATTTGGCCTTAAATCTAGAAATCGCTGATTTAATTAATCAAAAGAAACAAAATTAGTATGTTATTTAATCTCTTGGTGTGTAATTTAATCTCGATTTATGATGTCTTCTCATTGATTCTTTTTTAGCCCGCGAGATGCAGCACTTCATATTGTAAGATTAATTAACCATAGAAATCAAATTGTCTCGTTGCTTGCTTTAGCGGTATGACAATTCATTTCCTGCAGAACATTCTTATGTACACAAAGATATATTAATTTATTGTTTATTTGAACAAACATATAGCTTTTGGATATATGTGTAAAGAATTGTGGCTATCCTTTCCACTTACAAATAGCCACGAAGGATTTTTTGAATGCATTGGTCCGGAAATTTCCTGAAAAGCCACCTGTGAGTCGATTTATTTCTTCATCTTAAAACTATTTGGGCAGTAAGTTTAAATTTGATTTTATGTAGATAATCCCTAACCCTGTTCAGCTCCGAATATTGGAATATATTCAGGAGTGGAAATCGACTCTATGTACTACATCTCGTCACAAGGACGATTTCGTACATATTAGTGATATGCATCGTTTGCTCACCTTCAAAGGTAAAATAAGACAATTTATTTATTTATGTATTACTTTTAATTTGTTGTCGATGTTAATTTTATTTTAGGATATATTTTTCCTGAGGTTGATACAGAATCGGTTGCAGTCTTAACTCCTGCTCAAGTAGGGATATTTTCTTTTAATTTTTGCGTCTATTACGGAAAAATAGAATTTTAATATTAAAATTGAACTATTAGACATTAAAATCAAAAGATGAACTGGAGGAGGAAGATCGTATTGTACAAGCTGCGGTAAGATAATGATGTTATATATTTCGTTAAAATATTACTACACAAAATATTGTGTCATATTTGAAACTCTTGTTGTTTAGATAATTCATTACTTGTCGGGAATTTACTACTCTTACTCTGGCTTATTTGATTTATGTGTGTGTGTATAAAAATCAGAAATTACAAGAATTAATTCGTAGAGGTACTCCTGCGGATCTTTTAGAAGCTCAGGAACTGATGAAAATTATGGCTGGTTATGTATGTAAATATTCACGTTTTCCTTTTCTCGTGTTTAAATCATTAATTAATTTATTCAATTAACCCTTGCTTTGCTATATGTATAGGACCCGGAAACCCGTCCAGATTACCAGAAACAAGCAGACGAAGAATTAGAGCGCATACAACGAAAATCTATACTCCTAAATGATTTGCTGAATAATGTTAAACCGGGTGAAAAAATTGGCGGAGATGTATATGAGGTTAATAAATTTTTATATACGAAATTTCATTTCCTAACATAACAAGAATTATTGATTTCTATTAATTTAACAGGAACTAGCACAATCTTGTAAAGCTGTACAACCAAAAATTCAGCGACTAATTTCAGAAGAGGAGGATTCAGAGAGCATTGGTAAGATACAAAATATTCACCTCTTTAAAAAAAAGATATTAATAGATATTTAAATATTTTAGACCGGCTTCTTTTCTTGAATGATACAATAAATACTGTCTTGAAAAGATATGAAGATATTTCCAATGGGATTTTCGAACAAAAAGAAGATACTGCAGCATTACCTCAACCAAAAATAGAGTAAATTATTAAATATAACAAAATATTAGTTCTTTTCTTTCGCCCATCTTTAAAATTTTAACGGTTATATGTAATGTCGTATAGAGATTCTTCAGAAACATGGTTAATTGATCTTGGGGAACCTGAACCTCCAGCAAATGATATTGCCTTAACGTCTACTTCGAATACAAATAATACGGTTGCTTCTAACAATTCATCAACCGGAAAAGGTTTGAATTTAATATTTACTAGTGAATTTATTAGTTACACATAAAATAATTGTACTGACGAATTCAAAAATAAATAGGAACTGCAATTGATGATTTACTTGGTCTGAAATTTTAATATCATATATGCAGATTTGTATTTTTCTCGACAATTAAATTGAATTGTTTTAAGTTATTAAATTAATTACAAGTTCAAACTCTGGCGTTCTTTGGTGAATACCACTAAATTGTCTGTTTAAGAATAACAATACGTCACGGATGTGGCATCATTAAAAATCTTCTATTTGAAGTTTGCACCGCAATGATTACAATTACAACTTTTTCAATAATTATCTATTTATCTTAAAGTTGCCAATGATCGTAGCCAAATTTCAATTAAAAATGTCGGAATAGCAATTTTACATCTATTAATCTTGATCACATAATATATCAGGCTTTAAACAACTTCTAATTTTGATTATTGATCTTGCCAATGGCTTGTTAATCTGTCAAAAAAATTTTGATCAATTCTGTAATATAAATTACAAATTCAAAGAACCAGATAATTTATAATATAAATGTAATAATTAATCCTTTTAATTTTTATAAAATCTTATATAAATTCATTAAATTTATATATAAAATTTTTAAAGATATTAAAATCTTATTATATTTTAAAATTTATTTATTAATTAAGTAATTAAAAAATTATATAAAGATAATATTATATCTTTATAAATAATATTCTTAATAATAAAAAACAAAATAATATTAATAAAAATTATATAATTAAATAGATTTATTAATTTTTTACTTTATTTTTTGAATTATAATAAAATTAATATAATTTAAAAAAATTATTATTCTTTTTAAAGTATGAAATATTATTTTTTAATATAATATTTTATAATTTTTTTAGTATTATTTCTTTAAATATATTTATCTTTTTATTATATTTGTTAATTATTTTATATATTTAAGCTTTAAAAAATATTTAATTAAAGAAAAAATTTTAAAATAATATTATTAGTATTTCTAACTAAAATATTAAATTAGACTTAAATTAAACTTGAATTTAGATATGAAGTAGATTAAAAAAATTATTATAATAATATAAATTTTGTAACTTTTGAAAATTAAAATTTTTAATCAATTAACTACTTAATAGAAAATATATGATTTTGAATGATTTAATTAGTATATCAATTAATTTTAGTCATATTTTAGTTATAATTCAACTTTATTTTAGTGATATTTTAGAATATAAATATATAAACTACTTAAAATTAGCTATAATTTAGAAATAGTTTAGTTATATTTTAAAAATGATTTAGTTATGAATTTAAAATAAATTTTTTTTATTTTTTTTATTTATTATTAATTATCTTTTTTTTTTAAATATCTATTTTATTTTATCTTTTATTATTTGATTTAATTTTATTATTTATTGTAATAATTTTGATTAGATTATCTTTCTTTTAGTTTAAATCTTTATTTTGCACTATCTGTATTACAAATTAGCTTTGTATTATATTTTTAAGAAGATTAATTTCATTCTGAATACACAGATAATTATTATATATTTAATATATTAGATTTAATATATTATTATGCAAATAATCATTATATATATCTATATTATTAATTTAGATAATTAATATTTTTAATTAGATATTTTTTTTTAATTATTTTTTATTTTCTTACTTGTTCTTTATTTATTATTATTTATATTTTATTTATTATATTTATAATTATTATTACTTATTGAATTATGATTAGTTACTCTCTAGAGATATGAATTAAGTTAATTAATTATATTTAATACACATATAATTTAAATTAGAAATTCATATTAATTTATTTAATTTTGTATTTATTTCTTTTCTTATAAATATGTTCTTTCTGTTCTGTATTTTTATCTCAGATCTGAATATTTTTAAATAATGAAAATAATTATAAGTTATAAAATTAAAACTATTTATATTATATTTATCTTGTTTACAATCATTAACAAAATAATCTTATAACTTAATAGCGATAGACATGATTATTACAAAGACCATTCTCTAATATCTTACATATTATATATTATACATCATATATATACTTATATATATTTTAGTTTAGTAAAATAAAAATGAACTTAGAACAATTTATTTAATTTATACAGAGTATGACTGAACTTATCAAGATAGTAAAAGAAAATAGTTCTTTTAATCCTAAGTTTTTATCACATCTATTAATCAAACTATTTTCTTACTCTGAAGAACCAAATAAAAATATACTTGTCTGAATTATGCAAGTAAAAATTATATTTCTGATTCAAGAAATTATAGATGAGAAAATACAAATATAATATATTATTATCTTTTTGATTAATATAACTTTACATTAGTATCTTAGCAAATGTAAAACTAATAATGATATTATATCTTATGATAACTAGAAAATCTTTGTCACAGTATTAAGAGAAGTATTTTAATCTTTATATTATTAATAATATCTCTGTAGATAACTTTGTCTTTTTTATCAAACTGGATTTATTCAAGATTATGACACAAAATTCAGAAATATAGTTGAATAAATTACAGATATAAGTATCTTAAATCAGATTAAAGATACTATCTTAATTAATTATAACTTGTGATAGTTAATTAAAAAATTATAATTAATTATAATAACCAATCAGAAAATTATGATTAAGTTATAATACTATTTTTAGATCAGGTCATATATTTTATAAAAGAATTAAACCAGTTACAAAGATGAAAATAAGTTATCAAATATTAGAGATCTTAAAAGATACTTGAAAATTAGCTATTTACTATAATAATTTTGATTGAGTTATCTCTCTTTTAGATCCTTTTAGTTTAGATCTTTATTTTGCACTATCTGTATAACAGATTAGCTTTATATTATATTTTTAAGAAGATCAATTTCACTTTGAATATACAGATAATTATTATATATTTAATACATTTAGATTTAACACATTGTTATTCAGATAATTATCATGTGTATCACAATTATTAATTTAGATTATTAATATTTTTAATTATATTATTATTAATATTTTTTTTATAATTTTATTTATTCTTTCTTTATTATTATTTATATTTAATTTATTATATTTATAATTATCATTACTTATTGGATTATGATTAATTACTCTTCAAAAATATAAATTAAGTTAAATAATTTTGTTTAATTCATATATATTAATTATAGATTATTATTAATTTATTCATATTTTGTATTCACTTCTTTTATTATAAATATGATCTCTTTATGCTGTACTTTTAACCTCAGATCTGAATACTTTTAAATAATAAAAATAATTATAAATTATAAAATTAAAACTATTCATATCATATTTTATCTTATTTATAACTATTAATAAAATAATCTTATAACTTGATAGTAACAGATACAATTATTACAAACATCATCCCCTAACATCTTACTATACATTACATATTATATATACTACTTACATATATATATTTTAGTTTTAGTAAAATAATTTTATTAAAATAAACTCAGAATAATTTGCCTAATTTATATAGAGCATGACTAAACTTATCAAGATAGTTAAAAAAGATAGTTTTTCTGATTCTAAGCTCTTATCTTGTCTCTTAGTTAAATTATCTTCTTACTCTGAAGAACTAAATGAAAATATATTCATTTGAATTATGCAAGTTAAAATAATATTTCAGGCTTAAGAAATTACAGATGAGAATACTCAAATACAGTATGTTACCATCTTCTTGACTGGTGCAATGCTACATTGATATCTCAATAAAGTAAAGGCAGATAATAATGTCTTATTTTTTGAAAATTGACAAGCTTTTATTACAGCATTAAAAGAAGATTTTTAATCATCTATACCTATGAAATTAGATCAGGCAGAGAGTCATTATAATAATAGAAAAAGTAATAATAATCAGAAGAATAATAAACTTAAAAATATATATTACAACTATGACAAATCAGATCACTTCACCAAAAATTGTTATTTCAAATCAAAGACCAAAATTGCAAATATAGAAGATAAATAAGAAGAATCTTCACAATCTTATGAGAGAGTTAAATTTATTTATTTTAAAGATAATAGAGAAAGATTATTGAAATTTAATGTCAAGTAAATAACAAATTAGCATAGATATTATTAGATAATGATATATTAAAAAACTTTATTAATGAGAAATTTGTGCAAAAGAATAAAGTAAAGCTACAAAAGATAATATCAGTAATAGTTGAACTTGCAAATAGTAAAAAGATAATTGCCATCACCATGGTAAAGATTGATAAGCTAAAATTAGATACTTATAGAATGCATAAGATAGATATATAAGTTTTGAAATTGCAAAAATATGACTTAATTCTAGATAAATCTTGGTTATTTCATATTAATCCCATCATAGATTGGAGAAATAACATCATTATCTTTACCTATAGATTAAAGATAATAAAAGTTCAAGCTGATAATAAAGTTAAGTTAGGTTCAAGCTATAATTCTATCTATATATCAAGATAATAAATTGTAAACTTATCAGCAGATGTAGAACTCTTTATCATACATTTTAATAATACTGAAGATAAAGAAGAAGCAAAAGAAAAGTCACTTTTATCTAAAGTATTAGATATCAAGAAAAGATATAAAGATGTATTTTCAAAAATCTTACCAAATCAGCTATCATCCAAAAGAGTAATTGTTCATAAAATTAATCTTATTCCAGGATCTGAATTATTATTTAGATCTATCTATAGGCTTTCTTTCACAGAGATGGATAAGCTTAAGAAATAATTAGCTAATTTAATATAAAAAGATTTTATTCACTCTAGTATCTTACCATTTGAAATATCAGTTCTTTAGAGTTTTGAATAAAATTATTATCAAGAATCGCTACCCATTATCAAGAATTGATAAGTTGATAGACAGACTTACAGGCTCAAATACTTTTCAAAGCTAGATCTATATTTAGGATATCATTAAATTTATATTGTAGAAGAAGATATTCATAAGATAGCATTTAGAACTCACTATAAATATTATGAGTTCTTGATCTTATCTTTTGGTCTTACTAATGCATCAGTTACCTTTATGATGCTCATGAATAACATATTTCATAATTATCT